CCTCAGAACGTGCATTTTCATTTCCGATCAACCTGCATCAGAGCAAAGTATCCAAGCTTTCTTGGCGACGTTCTCGTTCCTCCAGACTTTCCTCCCCTTCTCAAGGTGGAGCACGTCCAAAGGCTTGCAGGAGAGTTCGGCTGGGTCCTTTGGAAACGTACTTGCCAACTTAAATTGCTAACTTAAAATCTGCGTATTTTGGAGTATTTTGTGTTTTGTTAGTTTTGCTTTGTAAGATATTTAAAATCACTTTAAGATATCATATGGAGCATAAGGACCGCCTTGGGCTTGCATCTAGTCCTTAAGTTTGTTTTATTATATAGCAAGTATATTAGTAATGACATAAGCAATGTTATTATTATTAATATTACTTAATGATCGGACATAAGCAATGTGGATTGACTTTTTTATGATACGCTGTACTAATAAAGGAAAGCTTCGCTAAATTTCTTTACTAGTTTTAATTCATTGAGCCGTTTTCTAATTCCCAAGACACCAGAGTCCGTTTTATAGTTTCGTAATTCCAAGATTCCCGTTTATCCTGTCGAATTTCTGTTTCTTTTTTTCTGTTCTTTTCCCCCCGTACATATGATTAATATTACGTATTAATAATAATTTATAATTGCTCGATTCCGTTACTCGTTACTCCATTCCCCGTTCTCCATTCCCCGTTCCTCCATTCCCCGTTCCCCCATTCCACGTTTTTCGACAGAGAAGACGATCTTTTTGCCTGTATTCAATCTACAAGCACTAAAAACAAGTTTACTAGTCGTATTTTACTCGTATGTACTCGTATTCTACTCGTATGTACTCGTATGTACTTGTGTTTTACTAAAAATGTTTTGACAACACAGTCATGTCAGGCAAATATTTCCAATCTCCTCAGCTACTTATATTAAACCTGTCAAGTAGAAAGCGTAGTTTTGTATACCAGTATGGTCCAGTGTTGATCACAACTTGCGAGTATATAAATAACATCAACGAATATACGACCATTGCTCAGACTCAGTATCGTAAATTTGTATATATTTTTTTTCAGTTGAGCACATTTTTAATACAGTATGAATTTGGTTATGTACACATCGAACATGATCAACGAACATTGTCGTATTTACAAGGTTATTTGTAAAATTATATAAATTTTCGCCATATTAAAAATACTGAAATCTGCTAGGCGTTCTGAAACACCTTTAGCGGTGACGTCACACCTAGGTCCTAGTCTCGCACTACATGCACGTTTTTTTCTCGCGCTTGCTTCAGAACGACTGGGACTAGGCTGGCCATAAATGAGATAAGGCTTGCCGGGTATGAAACAGTTCGTCGTGATACAGGCGTCAATGGTAAACATGGTGGGGTAGTTTGTTTTTACGTTCGGTTAACGATACATTTTTTACCGCGACCCGACCTGTTCATGCATTGACCAAATTAAGAATTCAGTGCATTGAAATCCGCAAAAAAGTGAGTTATATTGGTTAAAAAATAAGTAAATGAGCAGGGCGTTGCAGAGAGGGGGGCAAAGGGGGCTTCCAGTTTAAGGGAGCCCCAAATAATTTATATATTCAACACTTTTCACATTTATATATTCAACAGAATTTCGCATTTATATATTCAACATTGAATAAGAATGTAAACTTTTCGTGTCGAATATGAATATGTCCATAGTTGAAGTTGAATAAGTATATTTCATATGTGTTTATTGTTCAATATGAATATAATTTGATTGTTGTTATATAATTATTTTAGGTTGAAGTTGAATAAATATATTTCATATGTGTTTATTGTTGAATATGAATATAATTATTGTTGTTGAATATAATTATTCTAGGTTGAAGTTGAATGCAACGTATATAGTTGTTGGGTTATATCAGAATTAAATTACAGCAAGTAGGAGCCATCTCCTGGAATATTTAGACCCTTTATATGGGTTTCAGCCCCCGTAAGGTTAAATATGTTCCTACGCAACTGGTAAACTGGTTTCGGATATTCTATACGAAAAAGTATTAGCTTGCCCGTGTGGTAAAATGTAGAGGGGCAAAAATGTATTATCTGCCTCCAGGAGGAGACTTTAAGAGCGAGTGTCCGTAAATCTCGAGAATCGGACGACAAATTGGAAAATTCGAAATTCCATTTATTTTACCTATAGTATCCACTGGGTGAGCTATTTTAAAAAATATAGTTCAAAAGTCGCATTTTGGGGCTTTTAAGTCAATTTTCGTCGGTCAAAATACAAGATTTTGAAGCATTCGTGACGGCTACCTTTTAAATGTATTACGGCCGGTTTTTTTAATATAATCGAAGTACATCTCTATATTTTGTTTTACTAGCAAAATCTTTTTTGATTGCGAAGTCTTTCTTCACATTTAAAAGTAGCAAATATATGGTGTTTACGGCTCACAACAGAAAGGCCATTTTTTGTCAATTTCAATGTGCCCAAATGAACCGTGGTACATGACAAATTGCAATGAAAATAAGATTGCAAAGTAGCCATCTGTTTATAACCTATTAAAAAATCTCTTGGGGAAGCAAAACCCGCACCAGTGAGAAGTCAAAATGTTGATGTTATTTTTAGATGTCGGTGCATCATAATTGTACATTACACCGGTAATTACATGCAGTGACAATGTGACAGTTTTGTCGCATTTCAAAGATGCAGCGCAGAGTGAAGAATACAACAACAATATTACTGTTGGAGAAAGTTAAAAACAGTAATGTAACATGCAAACATGAAGGAAACTGTAGGATGGCATCGTGTTACTATGCAACACTAGTTGGCGGTCAGTGTGGACCTAGTTCGTACAATCCTTCTATTGTAGAATGCGTAACAATCAAGGATTGTAATAAGGACATTTTAAACCATTGCTCACAATATAAAATTAGTAACGATTGTGGCCTGTCTGGAAGTGAATCAATGTTACTTCTTGCTCGTGCAGGCAACGTCACCGAATTTCATGTTTATTTTTCATCCTTTGACTTTGTTGACTTACTGTTTGCAAATTTTAAAGATTGTAACTAAAACGTATCGGTATTCTTTAGGAATTTTTGAAATCGACGAGTCATACATGAAGATGACAGTGTGTCCTTTACATCGAGATTTGTATGACATTCGCTGGAGGTGCAACAAGACCAGATGCTCGATTCGAAATGACCTTGCAGCACATAAATCTTTATCCGTCAAAGCTCAATGTGGACTGACAACTTTATTATCATCTTTTATTTTTAACAAGACCAAGATACTTATTCCTGTGGGAACAGGTACGAGGTTAATTTATTCAATATACATATATTTCCTGCGTATAAGGTCGGCAGGAAACGTGAGAGAAGTATGAGGATATTTTACTATGCATGCACAAGTAGCGCAGGTTTTGTTTTTAACTGAATTTCTACGTTTTTTTTGTAGAATGAAGAATTTACTTACTAAACTTTTAGCAGCAATGCCTTTATTTTACAGGATATGCAGTATACTGTATACGTTAACTTTTTGCTTGTTTTAGGGATATGCAGGAGCTGTAAAGAACATTTAGCTCATCTGGCAACAGAATGGAGAACTAGTAATTTAGTGTCAACTGACGACGAATCAAGTAACTGCTTAGAATTATCAACATCTCTGTCGCAGATTAACGCAGAACAGCCGGTAATAAGAAACAATTTTAACTTTATCACGAGCCATGATCCATGCACTACATTTTAACAGCTTCTATTCTTTATTAGGAAGACAGTAATACTAGTACGTCAGATGAACTTGTTGAAGAAATGGATAAACTTGTACTTAACGAGACCAGGTGGAGCATCTTCTCTCCAGACACTGCAAGTACTACATCATCATCATCTTGTGACGTCACCGATATTTCTTCTTCATTGGTTGCTAGAAGAAAAAAGCTAAACGAATAT